GAAAGCAGCTTTGCTTCCTCCAGACCGAGTTCCAAATCCCCTGACCCCGAACTCCTTTCAGATCCAGCCTCTCGAAATAAACGCACAGAAGTCTGTCCAGGGAGGGAGGTCAATCAAATCACCTGGCTGCCAGGTCTTGGCACGCAAGGGCGTACCACACCCCGGATGAATCTACCCTAGTACACCACGATGATAGCGCAATCCTTTTCAACAGACAAAAGTGAGCCTATAGCACTGAGCAAAATGAATCGGAGAAACGGTTCTGACCCAGCCCTCAAGGAGACGTCTTTGCCATCTTTTGCCCAGAAGCAGCAGCAGTTGCCAGACCAAATCTTAGACATTTGTTTCCCCATTTAAAAAGGAAGAGCTCACTGAGACCCCTCCAGCTGTATCCATTCCTGATTCTAAATTCTCAGTCCCTTGGTTATGACCCAATAGGCCGGAAGTTCAGACTTTCCCCTAGAGGGTGGGGAGAAGTCGAGGACCATTAAAAGAACGAGGTGTTTCCACCACTTGAGAAACTTGCCTGTGTCACTTTACGTCGTTAACGTCATGCTTAGCAGCAAACGACTTCAGTGCCAGCTGAAAAGAAGGAACACGAGCTAATTTCTGGGCAGAAGAACAGATCACAGAGAAAGACCTAGAAGTGAAGAAGAGTAAACGGAAAATTTTAGGAGGAATAAGGAGAGTTGCTCTCTTGGAAACACTCCAGTGGACAGCAAACAAATGGTGACTTATCTCACACAGCCAGAGGGTCCGCCAGCAGGCTTTTCCAGGAATTATCTTTTGTGAAAGACTTAGCCTTAGTCGTAGCTATGCCCACTCACACATTCTGATTAGTTTATGCTCACGCGGAAATTATGAGCCCCAAACGGTTTGCAAGTGGCACAGCAATAGAGGAACCACGTCACAACTCCCCCACCTCCCGGCCCCACCTGTCCTTGGGGGAAAAAATTAAAATCCTCTTTTCAAAATGCATGCCTCAGGAAAACAGCTTCGTTGCATTTGTTTCCATGCTGCAGAAAATCAACACTAACTGGCTTTGATCCCAAGGAGGGCCAACTGCAGAATGCTGAGATTCTGCAGCCAGGAAGAGCTCAGAGGCCTCCTCTGGCCACCCTCCCCCAGCACGTTCGACTTCGATTATGTGGGAACATGCCTGGGCCGGGGGCTGCTGCCAGAACTCTCCTGGCCCCGACAGAGGAGGCCCCGTGCTCTGGCCCAGAATCTTTCCTAAAAGTCCGTACAGGATCTCTGTTGCTGCCAATCCTGCACTTTCTCTTTGGCGAGATTCCTGGCTCTGTTTGGCCAGAGTAACGCTACAGCTCTCTCCTGTTCCTTTCCTCCGCTATGCTGGGTTCCCCTCTCCCTGCGGCCCCTTTGCCTCTCACAGTTGTAAATGGCTCACTGCTTTTAGGAACCGGAATAATCCCGGGAAAAGATAACTCACACCAAGCCCCCATCTCTTCTCCATTAGCCCTCAGGAGAGGGCGGCCTTTTTGGTGAACTCTTAAAAAACAGTTCTTCACCTTCTGAGATAACAGTCTTGTGGAAAGGGAGGTAACCGACGCTAAAGAACCCCGATTGAATTACTGACCACTTATGTGAACCCAAGTAAACTAGGAAAAACCTAGAAGAACATCCCCAGGAGAGAGCTCTTTTTAGCGCTGGTTACCCCAAGTAGACAGTCCAGAGGGGCAGCCCCAGAATCTGTTTTATTTGGTGGGGCCCAAAGCTGAGAGAGGCACCTTGCACTTGCTGAGAATTAGAGGCGGGCCAGATCCTGTCCTGTCGTGACGTGTTTGATTCCAGTGCTTAGCTCCCGTTTGTTGAATTCCGAACTACAGTTTCCGTGCCGAGTGCTCTCCATGTCCTGTTTCATTCAGGCCTCAAGGCCAGCCTGTGAGTAGGTAGAGTTACCCCCCCTTTTTTTTTTTTTGAGGAAGATTAGCCCTGAGCTAACAGCCCCAGCCAATCCTCTTTTTGCTGAGGAAGACTGGCCCTGAGCTAACATCCGTGCCCATCTTCCTCTACTTTATATGTGGGACGCCGACCACAGCATGGCTTGCCAAGCAGTGCCATGTCCGCACCCGGGATCCGAACCGGCAGACCCCGGGCCGCTGAAGCAGAATGTGCAAACTTAACCACTGCGCCACCAGGCCGGCCCCTAGAGTTACCCCATTTTACAAATCGGGAAACCAAGGCTCAGTGGGAGGCACTTACCACTCGGCCAGCACTGACTTGAGGTCACAGAGCTGCTGTGTGGTGAGGCCTGTGCTCAGTCTCAGCCTTGTCCAACCCAAATCTGGGCCCCTCCCCGCTCTGCTCTCCCGCCTCCCCTAGCGATGGCACCGGGAACAGAAGGGACACAGCTCCCAGTTGTAGTTTTGTGGCTGCCTTGGGAAAGGAGCAGAGTGTTGAGTTAGGCACTTTTTGTGGGTAAAGTGGTCCTTAGACCCTCCCTCGGGCGAGCGTTCCCCTCTCCTCATGGAACTTTCTAACCCTCCTGTGCTCTCTCCCACTTCAGGGGGGCCTGAGCCAGAGCTGATAAAGAAAGAGGGAGAAAATGCCAGTGCTTTTCCCCACAACACCCAAGGGGTGGCTCTGGGAAGTCATTTCAGTTGCCTGTCGTGGCCCCTTCACCATGGGGACTCGGAGCCCAGCCCACGCCAACCATTTAAGCTGACATCTCAGTTCTTGTCTACGGGGCTTCGTGGAAGCCGAGGTGCTTCCCCAGCTGGAAGAAGTTGCTTCTGGAACAAAACTGTCTTGTCTCTAAGGAGTCCTTTCTTTGAGTGTAGACTCAGTTACTGCCCCCACAGGCACAGTCAAACAGGCTAACTGGAAACTGCAGATTCTGCAGGGATCAGCTATATTTGTGGCTTCAATTTATTACAGAATAAATAAGGGAGAGAGAAAGCCCAGAACAAAGTTGTTATAAACTACTGGGGGATATTATGAAGCAGTGTTAATTTGGCAGGTATAGACTGGTGTGTGTCTGCGTGCAAATGTCTTCCAAGAGCTTTTTCTCTCTTTCTTTTTTATATTATCACAAGTCAAATTTAAGTTATGATATAGGGTCAATACCTGTTATTGTGTTCTGTAACTCACATCACTGATTTCCATTTATCCTATTTACGGTTATATATTCTCAATGCTATAAAACAATAGCAAGAACTTTCTCTTTGAAAATATGCAAGTATATTGTTTGTGTGCTTTTTATTTTTTATCAAGATATAATTAACAAATAATAGAATGCAGCTTTTAAGCATTCACTTGGATGAATTTGGGCAATTGTATACATCTGTGTCATCACCACCCAAATCAAGACTTAGAACATTTCCTCTCCCCCCAAAAATAGAATGTTTTATTTTTAAAGTGGAAAAATATAGAGAGGAAAATTAAAAGCAACTTTCTCAACAGAAGAAATTGTTAACACTTTAGTGTGTTTCTTTCCATATTTTCTAAGCGTATTCTTTTTATATGGTTTATCTGTTCTTTCAGTAATGACTTGAGGGCCTACTAAGTGCCAGACACTGTCTAGGTTCTGGGGATATGACGCTGAATATGACAGTCCCAGTCATGACCATCCTAAAAACAAACAAAATTATATAAAATTTCAGATACTGGTAAGTGCCGGGAAGAAAAATGAAATAGTGCAAGGGGGTGGGGAAAGGGAGGTCAGGGAATGCCTCCATGATCGAGAGTGTGCACAAAAAGCTCCATTCGGACTTCTGGCCTCCAGCACTGTGAGAGAAGCAGCTTCTGTTGTCCTAGCCCCTGCTCGGAGGTACTTTGTTACCTGGGAAACTAACACACTGGTGTTTGCCTCTGTTCCCTCTGACAGCTACTCTTTTCCCCCTGGCCAACTCCTATTCGTGCAGCCAAGCTTCCTGTTAGGGTTCTCCTCAGGAGGGCCCGCCCACCCCTGGTCTGGCCTGCCTTCCCAGGCCCTGTTTCTTCCTCACGTCAGCAATCGTGCCACGTTCTCAGTCACACCAGCCCCATGAAGGTTGGGGATTCTCGGGCTCAACCCCGGCTTCCTCTTCTTTCTCTGCCCTCTCTAGGCCAGCTCACCAATTCCTGTGGTTTAAAGACCACCTCTATGCAGTCAAATCCCCAAGTCCCACCTCCGCCTGGACCCCGGTCTGAGCTCCAGACTCACTGACCCATCTGCCTGGACCCCGCTCTGAGCTCCAGACTCCCTGGCCCATCTGCCTGGACCCTGCTCTGAGCTCCAGACTCACTGGCCCATCTGCCTGGACCCCGCTGTGAGCTCCAGACTCACTGACCCATCTGCCTGGACCCCGGTCTGAGCTCCAGACTCACTGACCCATCTGCCTGGACCCCGCTCTGAGCTCCAGACTCCCTGGCCCATCTGCTGGCTTGGTCTCTCTGTTGGGATGTTGCACACACGTCTCAAACTTCAGTGTTTGAAAGGAATTCTTTCCTTCTCCCCCACAAATCTACCCCCGTCCTCGGCGCTGGTCTTTTGTCTCAGAATAAGAAGCACCCTCATCCACCCCGTTGCTCAGGCCTGGAACTGGGCATCCCCCTCCATTCCTCTGCGTCTCTCCCCGTCTCCATCCACCAGCAGGTCCAGGTACCCTGTCCCTCAAATGGCTATGGAAGCCACTCGATGTTCTCCACCCTCGGGGCTGCCACCTGATCAAGCCACGATCTCCTCCCACCTGGACAGGTGCAGTGGCTTCCATGCTGGTCTTTCCGCTGTTACTTCCGCCCCCTTCCAAATCATTCTCCACACAGGATCGCTTCTCTGCTTATGGCAGTTATAAACCCATCAACGGTTTCCTGGACCTTAGAGTAAAACCCAAAGTCTTATCGGAACCTGTGAGGCCCTGTCTGATCCGGCCCTGACCTGCCTTCTAGGCTCATCTCATATGGCCCTGCCTCTCCTCTATTTCTTCCCAGCTACCTTGAGACGAAGATGGTATGTTACGTTCCTAGGGCCGCCCTAACAAAGTGCCACAGACTGAATGGCGGAGACAACAGAGATTTATTGTCTCACGGTCTGGAAGCCACAAGTCTGAGATCAGATGTCTGCAGGTGGCTCCTTCCGAGGGCTGTGGAGAAGGATTGTTCCAGGCCCCTCTCCTCTTCTGGTGAGCACTGGCCGTCTCGGGCATTCCAGGGCTCTAAAGGCATCCCGGATCTCTACCTTCAACTGCAGATGGCGGTTCTCCCCGTGCACAGGTGTCTGTGTCCAACTTTTCCCTTTGTAGAAGGATGCCAGTCACATTGGTTTAGGAACCACCCTCATGACCTCATTTAAGTTGATCGCCTCTGTAGAGACCCTGTCTACAAATCAGGTCCCATGTTGAGGTCCTGGGGTTAGAACTTCAACATATGACTCTGAGGGGGGCACAATTCAACGCCTAGCACGTGGTTTTGACTCGCCAAGCTCCTCCCCCTCGGAACCTGTGCGTGCGCTATTCCCACGTGTGGTGCACCCTCCCAGCCCTCCGAATGACCAGGCCTCCCCTCCTTTAGGTGTTAGCTTTTATGTCCCCTCCGGCCCCCACACTGAATGCTAGTGGCCCTGAGCTCCCCCTGGCCCAGCCATTTGCTGTTATTCCTTGCCCCAACTCTTTGGTCCCTTCCTAACATGTAAGACAACTTGCCATCATTTTATTTTTTTAAACTCCTTGAAGTTTAAAAAAGTTTATTTGTTTAAACTCCTTGAAGCCAGGCTTCTATCCTCTGTCCCCAGATTTGTGGAGCCAATGACTGAGTTCACCGTATCACACCACAGAGCTCGAATCAGACCCCAGATGTCTCGCCTCCTAATTTCTATGGCCTTCCACATTCCCTCCCTAAGAAAGCTTCTTTCTAGTTGAGCGTTCCTATGAAATGGGCCCCAAAGAAGGAGTTCTGCATAGCCATTACGGACAAGTGATTAAGCATATGTGCTATCTGGGTTCAAATCCCAGCTTCTCCCCTTACTGGCTGTGTGAACTCAGTTCAGTTCCTTACCCAATCTGTGCTTCGCTTTCCCCTTCTGTAAAATGCGGTGGTAACGGTATACACCCAATGGGGCCGCTATGAAGACTGAGTGTAATTTAGGAGATAATATTATCTCCTTGAATATTCAGCTGGTGCCACTAAGTGCAAGGTGCTCCAAGGGACACACATGAGCAGGACGGTGTCCTGGCCTTCAAGGAGCCTGCTGTAGATGAGCAGAAATCTGGCAAGTATGTCACAGCGCCTGGCCAGGCAGTGTGGTGGAGAGGTTATGTGCGTGGGCCTGGAGTTAGCCTGCGGGGGTTCAAATCCCAGCTCTGCTGCTGCCAGGCTGTGTGACCCAGGGAAAGTTACTTGACATCTCTGAGCAGTGATTTCATCTTCTGCAAAATGGGATCATAATAGTATCTGCCTCTTGCAAGACTGTTGGGAGGATTAAAGGAGCCAGTGCTTGTCAGTGGGCGCTGTCTGCGGTCTCTGTGTTAGAGCTTTCCCACCCCTGCTCACCTGCAGACCGTGTAGTGGCTCCTTCCTGCCTCCTGCGTGCATTTGAAGGTGGGGACTGTTTTCCTTCATCTGCACAAGGCCTGGCCCAGAGAAGGCCCTCCACACAGACTGCTGGAATGAATGAAGGAGTGAAGGAATGAACGGAGGCTGGCAGAGTAAACCCAGGCCGACTTGGCACAACGGAAGGCAGGCACTGGGCACCTTCGCCGGCGTGGTGCCAGCACCTCGCACGTCCCTGGAATGTGCAGGGCTTTCACAAACACCAGCTGAATGAATCGGCAAGGGCGATGAGGAGCACGCACAAAACTCCCGGGGGAGTCAGGCGAGGGCATGCCAGGAATGGCTTTAGGGACAGGTGGCAGTGGCGATGGACCTTGGAAGGGCAGAGCCGGCTGGCCTGCCCCGTGGCCTCTGTCTCTGAGCGCTGAGGCAAGGCTGGAGAACGCCGCCTCAAGCACAGGCTGCCTGAGTTAGAGGAACGTGCCTGTGAGACACCTCCGGCCACAGGTTACAGAACCTCGACACACAGGATCGGGGGTTCATTAGCTCGTCAAACGCGTGGAGGGCGGCCAAGCCCTGGATCTGTTACACCAGCTGCTTGACAACCTCACCAAAGACCTGGTCCAGAAGCCCTCCCAGGGGTTCCCCTCATGCTCCACGAGGCCGATGATGACTCACCTCCCAAGACTGGAGATGGGCCTCACCACCCCCAGAAACTCAAAGAGGGTGAGTATCCGGTCAGTTGTGCTGCTCTCTGAGCAAAGAGATGACTCATGACTGGTCACAGCCAATCATAGCAATCCTGTTCCCCTGTGCAAGAGATGGATCAGGGATGGTCATGTGACTTGATTTTGGCCAGTGAGAAGAAGAGGGAAGTCTGCTGGAGGATTCTGGAGATGATTTTACCCCCTGAAATGAAAAAGGTGAAAATGAGAAAGCTCTTTTTGCTCCTGCCCGCTTCCTTCCTTCCTCTCAGAATGCCTCTGTGTGAAGATGTGAAACACGGTGTCACAGCAGCCATTTCGTGATCCAGAGGGACAATGTTGTTGACATGCTGAGGATAGCAGAGTAGAGAGAAAGAACGTGGATCCTTGATGACATAGCTGAATCACTGAACCAACCTTGGAATTCTTTATCTTATCTCCAGACAGCTAATACATACAATAAATAAAGCTTTATCATTGAAGTCCCATTAGTTGGGTATTCTATTACTTACAGACTAAAGCATTCCTAGCTGATAAAGTCTCCAACTCTTTATCTAACCTTACTTCCCTGTGTACACTTCACGTTCCTTCTTTGCTGGTAATAGGTAAGTTTGGGGCTGCTGGTGGCTGTCTCTTCTGCCATGTGGAAAGAGACCACTTGAGAATAAAATCAATACAGAAAAAAGCAGACAGGAAAGATAGAGAGGGACCAATCTCTGATGTCTTTGTCTGAGCCTCTGGATCCAGCTATGCCTGTAATCAACCCTACTCCTTGACTTTGCAGTCACATAAACCAATAAATTCCATTCTTCCCCCACCCTCCTTCTTTTAAATCCAGGTTCTCTTGATTTTCTGTTACTGAAAGAGCCTTGATTAACATATTATGCCCCAAAGTGCCACTTCAGGGCCTTCTCTCACATCACGGATCATCACAAAATATTTGTCAAGGAGATGCATTCACTGCTTTCCCCCGTCTTTCCTGCTTCCCAGACTTCTGAAGGCTACCCCCACTCAGTGTCACTCCTCAAAAGAAGGGCAGGAGAGGGGATGGGAAGAGACAGCTGGCACATCAGGGCATGGAAAGTCATCATTGCTGGGTTTCTACAGTGTGCAGAGCATTAGACCATAGACTCTTACAGAGTTCAAACCTGTATCGGTCACGATCCGCTCAGGCACGAGTGTCAGAATCCAACTCCAACTGATATCAGGAAGAAAGGGAACTGCTTAGCTGTCGCCAAGGGAAGTCCAGGCGCGGAGGCTGCCTGGGGACCACTGTCCCACATCTGCCTATCTCACGTACCACCCGAGTTCGGTTTTCCCTCTGGTTGACTTCACTGTCTTGTCTGCAGGCAAGCTTCTTCCAGGTGGAGGGTGACAGGGCGCGGCAGGGCCCCCCACAGCTCCAGGCGCTCCTCACACCAGCTCACCAGCCGCTTCTCTCTCCCACCTCCATGTAAAATCCCAGGTCTTCACTCTCTTTAGCCCAGACTGGGCCACATGCCTCCATCTGGGACAGTCACTCTGGCTCTGACTGACCAGACCCACGTGTGGCGCTGTGGCCAATACGGCCATATGATCACGACCCTCATAAGGGGGAGTGGGGGGTCCCCAGAGGACGGCGGGGAGTGGGTATCAAACAGGGGGGTCAGGAATGCTGGGCAGGCAGGCGAAACAGCTGACATCCACCATAAAAGCAGCCCACCATGAGCTGGGACTTTAAAAAATCGTGATGGATTCCATTACCTGCTGTGGGATTCCGTAAATATTTTTTGCACCTTATTAAATGCCATGAGCTATGAGTTAGGAGCTGGAGCAATAGAGGTGATCAAGCAAAAGTCTCTGCTCCTAAAGATGTCACGATCAAACGAGTGGTTGGAAAGGTGAACTGGCTACTGTGGTTCACTGTCATAAAACACTATGCTCTGGGACACGAGAAAGTGTGTACCTCAGTATACCAGTCGTAGGAGTGGAAGAAAGCTACAAAAGAGAAGTGCAATTTGAGCTAAGCCTTGAAGTTCAAGTACGGAGACTGGCAGGTGGGAAGGGCTGGGATGGGGGTCATTCAGCCGAGGAAACTGCAGGAGCAAAGGAAGAGGGAGGAGGAAGCGCCTGGTGGACCCCGAGAGTGCCTGGGGATTCCCAGGTGGCTAGAGTGGGGCCGTCACGTGTCTGGGTGGGGTGGTGGGCCCTCAAAGATGTCCCCGTCGTAATCCTCTGACCCTGTGCAGATCACCTTACGCAGCAAAGGGACTCCCTTCTGCAGAGGTGATCCAGTTAATGACCTTAAGATGGAGAGGTGGGCCCTAAATGCAACCACAAGGGGCCTTATAAGAGGGAGGCAGGAGAGCGGAGTCTGGAGAAGGTGACGTGACAGTGACAGCACAGGGAGGAAAGGCTGTGGGGCCAGAAGCCAAGGAATGCAAACAGCGTCCAGAAGAAGAAGGCAAGGGGCAGATTCTCCCCCAGAGCTTCTGGAAGGAACCAGCCAGGCCAACACATGGAATTTAGCCCCAGAAGACTCGTTTTGGACTTCCGCCCTCCATGACTGTACGATGATACATTCGTGCCGTTGTAGTCCAGCGCGTCTGTGGCGATCTACACAGCAGGAATAGGAAACGAACAGAGGACGATGGCTGTGGGAAGAGAAGAGGGTCGGCTATGGGGATCTTCTCTCCCGCCGCAAAGAACTTGGACTCCATCCCCTCAGCACAGGGAAAGGAGACTCGTAAGGGGAGCGTGCCCAGACGGGTGTCTTAGAGAACTCTGGCGGGGGAAGGAGGGGTGGGGTGTGGGGGTGGGGTGTGTGCACAGCCACAGGCTCGGTGCTCCTGTGAGCTGAGGTAGCACGCCAGAGCGGGAGGAACCGAGTCCTTTTCAACTTTAACCAATCAGACCCCCATGCCGAGGACCCAGTGCCCAGTGCGGGGGCTGCTTCTCCATCTCCACCCTGCTCCACCTCTCTGCCTCAGACTCAACCCTCACCACGTGCCAGGCCTCGTGCTAAGCTCCTGACAAGTATGAGGAAACAACATCCTCGTTCAACCCTATAAGGGAAATACTGTTATCTCCTTTTGACAGATGAGGAAACTGAGGCACAGAAAGGCGAGATAACTTGCATATGGTCACCCGGCTAACAAAGAGCACAAGTGCACAAGGGGTGTTCGTCCCCAGGCCGTCTTGATGGGGAGTGAACTTACTGGCCAGGAGGAGGGAAGCTAACGGATGTGATTCTGGACACACGGGTCTGGAGGTTCTGCAGGACGTCTGGGTGGAAACAAAGGTGAGTCTGGGCTGAGAACAGGAGAGCTCTGGGGATTCGTCACTGTATACGGGTGGCAGAGGCTGTGGATGTACAAAAGAACGTCCAGGAAGAGTGCAGATGAAAGACGACGTGAAGGCTTAAGACAGAATGTGGACAACAATGGCAGCTGGAGCAGGAGTGAACGGGAAAGAGCCGTCTGAGGTCAGAGGAGGGCCCGTGGGGAAGACGTCCAGAGACCAGTCTCATCGAGGGAGCAGGGAACGGTGGTGAGTGGTATGGTATGGGGCCAGGAGGTCACGCAGTATGGGGATGGAAGGAAGGCCACTGCCCTGGGCATTGGGTCGTTGGTGACCACTGCCGGAGCACTTTGAGTGGACTGGCTGGAAGCCTGGTTACCGAGGACTGAGGAGGGTACAAAAAGTCGGGGGGCGGGGGGCAGCCAGTGTAGTCTAGAAGATTGGCAGCAAAAGGGAGAAGAGCGATGGGCCGAAGCTCAGGACGATGCAGAACGTTGTTTAGTCTGTGGTTGGGAGGAGACAGGCATGCTTACAGGGAGCAGTAGAGACGCTGAAAGTCAGGTAGAGATCTGTCGCTTTCACCGTCTCCTTCCCCAAGTGCAACTGTCCTTTGGGCAACTGTCCTTCTCCACTCCCTGGGCCGCAGCCTCCCCCAACTTTGGAAGTAGTCATGTGACTCAGGCCTGGCCAATCAGCTTGTTCTAACGCCTGGCCACAGCGGCGGGGTCGTGAAAGAACACGTGACACGGTTCTGTCCAATGAGCGCTGGCCCTGGGGCTTCCGCTGGAATCCTGTCTTCTGGGATTGCCACGCTGCTGAGAATGGCAGCCTGGAGCTAAGGGGGGCTGTCTTTGCTACCACATAAGGAGGACCTGCCTGGGAATGAAGTCAACACGGACGATAACAGAGCCGAGAAATGGAGAGGGACTGAGTCCCAATGACATTGTGTGAGTCCCCGCGTCTAACACAGTCCTCAGCCAGTTCGTGCTAAATTTTTGTGCCACTTGAAACTGAGAGTCCTGCCTAATATGAGGACGAGGGAGAAGGATGTGTCTTGGACAGGGGTGACCACTGTTCTTCTCGAGCTGTTTACTGGCAGGCCCTGGTTCCTCACTGGCTGTTGCAGGACACTTCCATTCTTTGCCACATGGGCGTCTCCATAAGTTGCCTGAGTGTCCTCATGACGTGGCAGCTGGCTTCCCCCAGGGTGAGTTGTCTAAGGAAGAGAGAGCAGGAGTGCCAGCCCAGAGGATGGTGTCAAGATGGCGGCGTAGGTGCTCTGAACTTCCCCTCCCACAGACACAACAAATTTACAACTACTCTTGGAACAATTACCCCTGAGAGAGAACTGAAAACTGGATAAAAAAAGCCCCCACGACAAGGGACAGTACTGACTGAGATGGAAGAGGCAGAAATTCCCTTCTGGAGAGAAAAAAGCCACGTTTGTGCCACAGTGCTTCATGGCCTGCCAGGAGCAATCTTAAGGAATTCCAGAAAGAAGAGAGAAAATGAGAAAGATGAGTGTTTTCCAGAATGGATGAAAGATATAAAGCTTCAGCTTCAAGAAGCACAAGTTCCAAGTAGTATAAACAACATAAATCCACACTGAAACACACTGCAGAGAAAGTGCAGGGAGGAGAAGAAAGAAAGTAGATATCAAAAGCTACCAGAGGGGCTGGCCTGGTGACACAGTGGTTAAGTTTGCATGTTCCGCTTCAGTGGCCGGGGGTTCACTGGTTCAGATCCCGGGTGTGGACCTATGCGCCACTTGGCAAGCCATGCTGTGGCAGGCATCCAACATATAAAGTAGAGGAAGATGGGCATGGAGGTTAGCTCAGGACCAATCTTCCTCAGCAAAAAGAGGAGGATTGGTGGCAGATTTAGCTCAGGGCTAATCTTCCTAAAAAAAAAAAAGAGCTACCAGAGAGAAAAGATAAGTTACCTACAAAAGAAAATAATCAGACCAAACCAGACTTTTCCAAAGCGTTGGTGGAAACAAAAAGGCAATGGAATAATATTTTCAAAACCCTGAAAGAAAATATCTATAACTTTATATCCGGCTGAATTATCATTAAAATACAAAAGTAAAATAAAGACATTTTCAGACAAACAAAACCTACCAAGAGCAGATCCTATCTATGGGAGATTCAGGAAGAAGGAAATATATTTCAAAAGGAATCCAAGAGGAAATGATGAGCAAAGACACATGCAGTTAAATTTACAATACTGAATATGTAAAAACAACTAGTAATTACTAATTTCTGGTAACAAAACAAGGTGAAATAAAGTTTTGGCAACAGTATCAAGAAAAAAAAAGGGTGCCAGCCCAAGGTGGAAGCCACAGTCTTTTTAATAACCTAATCTTGGAAGTGACGTACCACCACTTCTGCCATATTCAATTTGTTTGAGGCTAGTTACTAAGTCCAGCCCAGTTACAAGGGGGCTAGAATTAAGCTCTTAAAGGGAGGTGTATCAGAGAGTTTGTGGGCATATTTTTTAAACCACCATACCACCAGTCAAGCTTCCCCCTGCCATATCATTCATGAGATTTGGGTCACGTGGCAATACCTGAACCAGTCAGTGGTGAAGGGAGTGGATCATCCTAAGATGAGTCACCTCTGGGGCTGTGTGGAGGAGGGGAGATGCCTGAACAAAATCGGTGTTCTGGGAGAAAGGAAAGCATGGTGCTGGTGAGGAAGCAGCAGTTGGTACGACAGGCAGCACCAGGGGTGAGTAACTGTGCAAGGCAGGGAAGGTGTTTCAAAGGAAGAGGAGCTAAATTTAATACTTAGTAAAGTCCCAGATTTTAGTAGCATGTATTTACCAGAAGAAGAAAGAGAATGAGATGAATGGAATTTCCTTTCTGACTTGGAACCCTGTTTTGTCCCCTCTGCCCTAGAAATTTTGTAATTTGCGTTTTCTAAAAAGACACAATAATCTTTTTATCGCTGCGTCTTTGCAAAAATGGTAACTATTTCATAATGAAATTCAAGGTTGTGCTAATTAAAGGGTCTAAGATGAAGCCAAGACAGGTTTCCTTTTTTTAATTGAAGTGAAATTCACATAACGTAAAATTAACTTTTTTTTTTTTTTTGAGGAAGATTAGCCCTGAGCTAACATTGGCTGCCAGTCCTCCTCTTTTTGCTGAGGAAGATTGGCCCCAAGCTAATATCTGTGCCCATCTTCCTCTACTTTATATGTGGGACGCCAGCCACAGCATGGCTTGACAAGTGTTGTGTAGGTCTGTGCCCGCGATCTGAACCAGCCACCAAAGCAGAGTGTGCTAAATTAACCACTACATCACTGGGCCGGCCCCTAAAATTAACCATTTTAAAGTGAGCAATTCAATAGTATTTAGTACATTTACAATGTTGTGCAACCACCACCTCTGTCTAGTTCCAAAACGTTCTCATCACTTCAGAAGGAAACCCCACACCCATTAGCACTCATTCCCCCACGCCCCTCAGCCTCTGGCACCCCCCAACCTGCTTTTCTATAGATTTACCTGTTCTGGATATTTCATATAAATGGAATCATATAATATGTGGCCTTTTGTGTCTAGATTCTTTCACTTAGCGTAATGTTTTTGAGGTTCATTCACGGTAGTATATATCAGAACTTCTTTCTTTTTTTTATGACTGAATAATATTCCATTGTATGACTATACTACATTTTGTTTATACATTCACCCAATTATGAACATTTGAGATGTTTCTGCCCTTTGACTGTTGTGACTAGTGCTGTTATGAGCACGCACGTACATACATTATTTTGAGTGCTTGTTTTCAATTTTTTGGGATGTACACCTAGGAATGAAATTGCAGGGTCATATGGCACTTCTATGTTTAACTTTTTGAGGAACCACCAAACCGTTTTCTAAAACAGCTGCACCATCTGACATTCCCACCAGCAATGTACAAGGGTTCCAGCGTCTCCACATCTTTGCCAACATTTGTTATTTTCCATTGTTGTGAATGCGGCCACCCTAGTGGGTGTGAGGTAGCAAGATAGATTTTACAGGTGCCGATTAATTACCTAGCTATCTATTTCAGACCAATAGGGTCAAAATCTTGCATTTGATTTTTCTGAAAAATACGCAAGGAAAAAAAATCTAGGCTTCTACCCATCATCCATTGCAATAAGTCTTGACTTTGGAAAAATCTGAGATTGGGAATACCCTCATAAATGCCCTGAGGAGGTTAAACTCACTAAGATGTGCTAAAAATAAAAAACTAACAAGAGAACAGTGGAAACCTATACTGACAATGTTGAAGCAGGCTCCTAAATAACTATCAGAAAAGTGGAAAGAATTGTGATCGCCTTGTCACAACTGGACAAAGCAGGAAAAAGAAAAACAGCCAAAAGCCAACATGTTACATGTATTTGTATTTTTTAAATTAATTATTTTTTTTAAATCTCTTTTTTTGCTGAGGAAGATTGGCCCTGAGCTAACATCTGTGCCAATCTTCCTGTATTTTATATGTGGGTTGCCACCACAGTGTGGCTTGATGAGGGGTGGGTAGGTCTGCACGCAGGATCCAAACCTGTGAGCCCTGGGCCGCCGAAGCAGAGCATGCAAACCTAACCACTATGCCACCGGGCCAGCCCCAAGAGTGGACACTTTGACAAACGCAAATAATTTTCCTAAGGATGAGCCTGCCACTGAACTTTGAGTTTGAACCCGTTAGGATTTATGTCATAATGTAAGAGCATCTTCCATGTCCTCTTAGCTCCAAAACCATCTGACAGTAGTTTATTATTTATTGCTGCTTTTTTCATTGTGGTAAAATACACAAAATTTGCCATTTGAACCATTCTTAAATGTACAGTTCATTGGCATCAATTACATGCATGATGTTGTGCAACCATCATGACTGCCTAGTTCCAAAACTTGTTCATCAACCCACACTGAAACCCCATCCCCATTAAACAACCCCCACCCCCCTCCCCAGCCCCAGCAGCCCCTGCTGTCCTTCCTGTATCCATGAACTTGACTACTCTAGGGACCTCAGATACGCTGAATCATACGGGGGGATACGGTGCTTGTCCTTGTGCGTCTGGCTTCTTTCACTTAGCATGATGTCCTCAAGGATCATCCAGCATGTGTCAGAATGTCATTCCCTTTTCATGCTGACTAATATTCCATTGGAAGGATAGACCGCGTTGTGTCTATCCACGCATCCTTTGATGGACATTTGGGTCATTGTCGTCACTTTTCTCACTTAAAAAAAAAAGTAACGTCTGGGATGTGGGATGGATTACAAAAGAGCACAGGGCAACTTTAGAGGGTGATGAACACGTTCATATCTGGACTGTGGGGACGTTTTACAGGTGACTGTATGTCAGAACTCATCAAATTAAACACTTTAAATATGTGCGGTCTGTTGTGTGTTGGTTATACCTCAATAAAGCTGTAAGAAAAGGTAATATTTAGTCAATTCAAATAGTCTCCAAGAGTCCCCAGTAAGTACCAGATCTCCTTTTCTCTGCTCTCCAATCCTCCTTCCCAGGGAGCAACCACTGTTAGCAGCTTGTTGCCTCCAGATGCAGTCCAGGCGCACACGAGCTTATGTTTGTTATTTCCTGCCCCACCTTTTGAAAACTTCAACATTAGCAGCCCAATCCACTTTTTGTACCTTGTTTTTTCTTCTTGATAACATCTTGGAGACCCTTCCTGATTTGTCTAGAGAGAGCTTCATTATCTGCAACATCTGTATACTACCCCCCATCTGGACGCACTACGCTGCACTTGACTGGTCCCCCGCATGGGCACTGAAGTTGCTTCTGGTTTTGGCTATTACAATGCCGCAGGGAATATCTTGGTGCAAATGTCTCTGTCTACATGGGTGCAGGAAAGTTCAGGATCTGAACCTCAGCATCCCATGTTCAAACCCGGTCTGCACTATTTGTTAGCTGTTTCCTTGGGCAAACTACTTAATCTTTCTGTGACTCAGTTTTCTCCTCTGAAATATGGTGAGAGAGTGGGTTGTGATATACACACAATGGAATATTATTCAGCTTTTAAGAGGAATGAAATTCTGACACAGGCTACACCATGGATGGACCTCAAAGACATCATGCTAAATGAGAGAAACCACACACAAAAGGACAAACGCTGCATGATTCCACTTACACGGAGTCCCAGAGGAGTCAAATTCAAAGAGACAGAAAGTAGAATGGTGGGTGCCAGGGGCTGGGGAGGGGACTGGGGAATTAGTGTTTAATGGGGACAGGGTTTCAGTTTGGGACACTGCAAATGTCCTGGAGTTGGATGGTGGTGACGGTTACAGAGCAATGTGATGTACTTCATGTCACGGAACTGTACGCTTAAAAATGGTTAAAATGGTAAATTTTATGTCTATT